CCATGCAGACCACACACACGAGGGCACTCTGCAGCACTGATGACAGGAGACTAAATGAGACCACCTCATCATTTGTCTAAGCCAAGAAAAAAGCAAGGTCACCGTGTCACTCGTGGAATAGCAGACATCTCTTTCTCCCAGCTGATACAAGTGACTGTGGCTTCTTTACATGTTACAGCTTTAGCCTTACTCCAGCCAAATCTAGAAAAGATTCAGCTACTGGTTGATAGAATTTTCCCACCTCCTTTCTGTACTCAATAAAGAGACCTTCCCCTAAATCACCCAGCCAAATCACAGACCCTAAAGGTCTAATATCCTCTTAGTGATGTGCCCCACAGTTTCTCATGGTGTGACTTTTCCCTTCTTGCGTAAGTAATAACTGCAGACCAGGTGTTCAAGAAAGTAAGTGCCCTGGTCATAGGTTCCATGTGGATGCCGAGGTCACCTAAGGTGAAATCGTAAACTGAGGTAGAGGACACTCTGGGCCATGCACTCCAATTTTCCATGAATGAGGTGAATGATCAGGAGAAGGTGAACAACAGCAACTTGCTTAACTGCAGAGTGTTTCTGGTGGTCTTTACTGGAGGACATCCACAACTGTAACAGTAAAAAAGGATGGTTAAGTTTCTTGGGGGAAGACAGGGAGCGGTGGCTCATGCCAGTAATCCCAGGACTTTGGGAGGCCAAGGCAGGTGGATCACCTGGGGTCAGGAGTTCAAGACCAGCCTGATCAACATGGAGAAACCCTGTCTCTACTAAAAATACAAAAATTAGCTGGGTGTGGTGGCAGGTGCCTATAGTCCCAGCTACTCAGTAGGCTGAGGCAGGAGAACTGCTTGAACCCAGGAGATGGAGGTTATAGTGAGCAGAGATCGCCCGGCCTGGGTGATAAGAGCAAAACTCCCTCTCAAAACAAAACAAAAAGAGTTTCTTGGGGGAAGTTAAGAGAGTCTCATTCTGAGGGCTCCCACTTTCTATGCTGAGCAACAGCTGACATTATCTTGAGACTAAAGAAGGGGTGGAGTAAATCAGAAGTCTGAAGAAAGTAAAAAATGTTTTAATTAAGTATCCGGAGAAAGCAAGAGTGAGTTGATCTAAGAAACAAACTAGGATAGTCAGGTTCTGTTAAGGGCACAGGTGAGATTGGCCGACATACATTCATAGTGGCACCAAGCCACCCTACTGTGTAATTTCTAGCACCTGTATTCAAGACAAAAATGGATAGTTTGGTTAAACCAGCATTTTGGGTCTACTAAGACCAAAGGGTAAGAAAGATAAACACACTGTCAACAGAATTACTAAGGGATGAAGGATGAACTCTAAGTAATCCATTGAGGGATAGCAGCAGCGGGATTACCTAAAAGATAGAGAAAACCACTGAGGTGCTAAGAAGAAATGGGCACAGCATGGGAAATAGAAATAACTGGCCAAGCAACTTGGAAAGAGGGGTCAGGGCTAACAAGTGTTGTACTCTCATCTGTGAGGCAGTGCAGCATCAGGATAAAAACACAGAGTGTCACAGCGGGAATGGGTGACAGAATCCGATGGGAAGAGGTGATCACTGCAGACCAGGTGTTCAAGAGAGTTCCCTGGTCATAGGCTCCATGTGGATGCTGAGGTCACCTAAGGCAAAATCATGAACTGAGACAGAGGACACTCTGAGCCAGGCACCCCAGTCTTCCATGAATGAGGTGAATGATCAAGAGAAAGTAAACAACAGCAATCAGGAGGGCTCCAGCTGGGTGGGAAGATCTCCACGAAATGAGATGGGGGGACACACACAGGGAGGACGCAAAGCTCAAATCCCTGATCCTGAGATACACAGGGGACGAGAAGGAGGAGCCACGGGAGAGGGCTTCAAGAACGGTATATCCCTGGGGAAGGGTCAGGGTGAAGGCAAAGGGAGGGAGAGAGGGAATGGCTAAGGAGAGGCTAACAGAATAGAAGCAAATGTTGGCTATCAGGTGGTAACTGTAGCATACGCAGTGAGGGGCCGGTGGAATGGATGGATCACAGGTGAACAAAAGAGGGGAGAAAAAAAACTCTGGGGCATAGCGTAATGGACATCATAAGGAGAGCAGAGAAGGGAAGGAGAGTGAGTACCATGGGAAGTGCTCAACGGATACCTGCTGAGGCAAATGGATTTAGTGTAAACCTAACATATCCAACCGGAAAACTTCTAATTGATACCACAAGTCCAGGATCACAATGACAACAACGATTTGATGACAATGAGGGGTGGTGATGAACACCTCTGGTATGCCAAGCACTGCTGGAAGCACTCCACATTTCACCTGCACAGCAACTGAGACAGATCACATCCTCCTTATCTCCAGAAGGACTCTGTACGAAAGGAGGAAGCAAACTAAACAGAAGTAAAAGAACTACAGGTGCCTCAGAACGCTGACTGGCTTTTTATTTTATTTTATAGCTATAACTCACTCAGGGCAGCAGGAACCACCCTGATTCATAGCTACTGCACATTCAGCAACTTTAACCAAATGGTATTCAGCCTGGAGAGGAATCAAAACTAGCAATAATAATTTTCGGAGGGTTTCACTTTGTTCCAGATCCTCTGCATCAATAATCTCATTTAATCCTGACACCTAAAAAGAAGGTTACCTTTATAATCACTGTTTAAAAATGAAAAGATTAGGTTGGGCATGGTGGTTCATGCCTGTAATCCCAGCACTTTGGGAGGCTGAGGCAGGTGGATCGACTGAGATCAGGCGTTTGAGACCAGCCTGACCAACATGGTGTATTTTTAGTTCTCTACTAAAAATACAAAAATTATCTGGGCATAGTGGCACATGCCTGCAATCCCAGCTACTCAGGAGGCTGAGGCAGGAGAATCACTTGAACCTGGGAAGTGGAAGTTAAAGTAAGCCACGATAGCTGTGGCCAATAGCAACTGAAAGCTGGACACGTAAAAAAGCTGAGTATAATCCACTCAAATTCACAAGTTTCACCAGGGACTGCCTCTAAGACTTTAATACTTGTGTATTTATTTAATCAATCACCACTTACACAGACTACATGCCAAACACTGCTCCAAGTGCTCTACTAATATTAAATATCATTTTTGTTCACACCCACCTACGATGCATTATTATGCCCCCATTTTACAGATCAGGAAACTGAGTCACAGAAAGATTAAGTAATTTCCCCAACTTTATACCACCAGTAAGTGGCAAAGCTCAGTTTGACAGAGTCTAGCTCCAGAATCCATGCTCTGAATGGCTGTGGTTAGTCCCCAAGAACCTATTAAAAGTGCAAGGTTTAATCCAACACACTGGTTTTCCCCACTCCACAATCACTACATGGCCTCAGACTCCTTCTCCCAAATTAAAAGCATTCTTTCCCTTCTTCAACAGTTCATATTCCTCTGAACAGCCTTTTAATCTCACTTTTTTTTTTTTTTTTTTTTTTTTTGAGACATAGTGTTGCACTGTCGCCCAGGCTGTAATAGAATGGCGAGATCTCAGCTCACTGAAACCTCTGCCTCCCGAGTTCAAAAGATTCTCCTGCCTCAGCCTCCTGAGTAGGTAGGATAACAGACGTCTGCCACCACATCCAGCTAATTTTTGTGTTTTTTACTACAGACAGGGTTTCACCATGTTGGCCAAGCTGGTCTCGAACTGCTGACCTCGTGATCTACCCATCTCGGCCTCCCAAAGTGCTGGGATTACACGCGTGAGCCACCGCACCCAGCCTCTTCTCACCTTAAACATCACTGACCAAATTACAAACTCTAATGGCACTGCTGTATTTGTTAGCACTCAACACAAAAAACCATAATTATGTATTTCGCTTCCTGTCTCTCTTTTCCAATTAAGCTGTGACTTCCAGTATGTCCGACACCATGTCTGTCTTGTTCTTGGTGTATTCCCACCACTGAATACCTACTAACCAGCCCAAAGTAAGGGCCTGGCACAAAGTAAGGTCTCGATAATTTTTGTTGAATGAAAAAATAATGGGGGACACTCAAGCCTCATGTTTTCTCTTCCTCTGACACATACCTCTGCTGGCTGCGCCCCCATCCCCACCACCACACCCTTAACAGTGGAGACTGTGTGGTACTGGCTCTGCAAACAGGTATTGCCTGGCTCTGGGCGGATTATTTCCTCTCTTTGTCCTGAGTTTCAGGTGCACAACAGGGGTCATACCAACTCCCTATAGAATGCAACCTACAAAAGAGAGAACCTACACCTCTCATCCTCGTAACTCATCGAGACTGGAGCTATTATTTGCTTCACGTTTGCCTTTCCAGCAGGTTTAGCTCCAAGAAGTCCAAGACCCCGTCTGCCTGGTTCAGGGGCCTGTTCCCATCCACGGTACCCAGGCTTGCCCCCTGCCTGGCTCCCAGCAAAAGCTCAGAAAGGATTCGCTAACTAAACGAAGCCCTGCTCTGTGAACTTCACAGGTGGGAAGAGAGGCTCGCGCAAGGCAGGGGCTGCATCCCTGCCGGCCTCTGAGCGTGCTCCTCAGAGGCAGGCCCGCCTCCCACCTACGCCCGAGCCCCCGATGCAGGCCCCGAACCCCGCCCCCCGGCAGGTACCTCTTGCACAGGGAAGCATCTTCGCAGGTGCCACGCACACCCTCGTCGTCCGCGTCGCAGCTGGAGGTGGAAGAGCAGGAGGTGAAGGACGACTCCCTCTGCCTAGTGGCCATGGGCGTGGAGGTTCCGGGATGCTGTGTCCGCCAGGGACATGGAAGCGGGATCGACGGGCGGCGGGAGACGGCGCGAGCCACGAGCAGAAAGCAGCAGGCGAGGAGTCGAATCCACCTGGCCCAGCTGGCGCGGCTCAGTGACGCCGCCCACGTCGGCTGCTCCAGCAACCTCTCCGCTTATTGGCTTCTCTGCGGAGTTGCTCGCTGGGCACTTATCCCGCCCTCTCAGCCTACGAAGTTGCTCATTGGATAATTATTTTGGCACCGCCTACATAAACCGGAAATGACGATAGGAAAAAGAAACTAAACAGCAGAAGCCGAGTACCGCAATGCTTTCTGGGAAGTGTAGTCTTAGGTGCCTAGGTTTCTTGCCGGCCACGAAATCTTACAGCTATAGTTAACTAAGGGCAGAAAAGCTAACAATCCTCAGCGTTCGGGCAAAGGGCAGAGAATCCAGCCAGAAGCAACAAGTGTAAGTTGTTACGTTCAGTCCGGGCTCAGTGTCATTCAGTTTTACAAAATTTTGTTGTGTGCTGACTCTGCCAGCGACTGTGCTGAGGGTTTTGCACACAAAATTACTTTTGAAATGTAGTGAAGGGGCTGGACGCGGAGGCTCAGGCCTGTAATCCCAGCATGGCAGGAGGGCGAGGTGGGCGGATCACCTGGGGTCAGGAGTTCGAGTCCAGCCTGGCCAACACGGTGAACCCCGCCCCCCCGACTAAAAATACAAAAATTAGCTGGTCGTAGTGGCGGGTGCCTGTAGTCCTGGCTACTCAGGAGGCTGAGGCAGGAGAACCGCTTGAACCCGGGAAGCGAAGGTTGCAGCGAACTGAAATCGCGCCACTGCACTCCAATCTGGGTGACAGAGCAAGACTCCATCTCAAAAACAAAAAGAAAAAGAAAAAAGTGGTGAGAGAAGTAGTATGCGGAAAAGTAATTCAACTGGAAGCCATGTAGCAGTGATAATAGATGAACTAGCGCTATCAGGTAGCAGCATCAATGGCTGAATCTCAGAAACACGACGTTCAGTGAAAGGATGTCTAACAATACTTTTGTAAAGGTCAAACCAAGTAAAACTAATGTTGTTTAGAGAAACAAACATATACGGTAAAATTCTGTACAGAAAAGCCAAGGCACGAGGAAAAAAAAAAGAATCAGGATATTGGTGACTTCTAGGGAGCTGGGAGTGTAGCACAGTGAGAGAGGAGGGAGAGGCAGGGAAGAAGCACCTAGACACATCCTCCGTTTCTCAAGTGGGAGTGGCTTCGCATGTGTCTGTTTCATTATGATGCATATTCAAGATGTTCTGGATTTATTTTGTAATAAATTCAGTACAAAATATATGTTATATATTCAAGGTGTACTAGGGAAGTCGCCTGGTTTCTTGCTGGTCGTGAAATTTTATAGCTGTAATTAACTCAGGGTAGAACAGCTAGCAGAATCCTCAGCACTCCGGCGATGGGCAGAGAATCCAGTCAGAAGCAAGAAGTGTAAGTTGTGTATGTATAATATATGTTTAATATGCATTATAAATAATATGTTTGTATATTCCATTTTGTTATCTGTCAGTTGTTGGAAGCAGGGAACATATGTACTTTAAGAACTTTGAATTGCACTCATTTTTTTAAAAGGAAAATCAACAACAGAAACCCAGAATACACACCTTGGGGTGACATCAAATATCAAATGCTAGCTCAGTATTCAGTGGAGGCACAAGATCTCACTGGTAGCCACAGCAGAAATAACAGGGGAATGGCTAGGGGTAGAGAGCTTTGCTAGGGGGACTGCTGATGGGATGAAATACACCATTTTCTTGGAGTGGTCATTTGCCAAAAAGACAAACTATTGCACAAGCGTCATCTCCCAGCTTGGCAGTGTCCACATTCGATGGGTGTTAGTGGACAGTAAGTGTTAACAGCAAGTACGATGTGGTGTTAATCCCATAGGTCGGCACAGTGAGACTGAGGGCAATTGGAAGAAGGTGGTGGCAGGTGGGTCCACACACTTTTGTTTTTGGATAAGCCTTTGATTAAAAATAGCTGGTCAGTTTTTCACTTGAGGTCATCCCAAAGTCTCCTTCCAGCTGACCTCCAGGGCCAGCTTATTCCATGTAAGTTCCTGGTTGAGGGTCTGAAAGTTTATGACAGAGTGGGCTAACTCAGCCATCTCAGGCTAAATGACACCTTAATGCATGAGACATTGCTGGGATAGTCTTTGAGCCATATCCCAGCCAGAGAAGGTTCACTGCCCACTAGACGGCATCATTTGACAAAGTCAAGAGAAGAGTCGTGGAAGTGTAAAAGCTCTTTGAACATTAATATTGTGGGCCCAAAGCTGGACATTCACCATGGAACTTCTCCCCAGAAGGCTACAATGGACAACTGTTGCTTTGGCTTTCCAGTATCTCTTTCTTCTGTAAGAAATATCTAGAGCATCCAGGTGTGGTGGCTGACTTCTGTAATCCCAGCACTTTGGGAGACCAAGGCAGGCAGATTACCTGAGGTCAGGAGTTTGAGACCAGCCTGGCCAACATGGTGAAACCCCTATCTCTACTAAAAATACAAAACTTAGCCAGGCATCCTGGTGGACCCTGTAATCCCAGCTACTTGGGAGGCTGAAGTGGGAGAATCATTTGAACCCGTGAGGCGGAGTTTGCAGTGAGTTGAGATTGCACCATTGCCTTCCAGCCTGCGGGACAAGAGCAAAACTCCTTCTCAAAACAAAACAAAACAAAACAAAAAAATAGCTAAAGCTTCTTATGGAGAACTAAGCCTCTCTCCCTTCAGTCCACATGAATCAAGAGAGGCTTCTTGCCTGACACCAGGGGTGGAAACTTAACAAGATCTGGCCAGTTGGCACACAAAATTGCCTTGCCACGTTTCGGAGGATGGTGGGGTTGGGGAAAGTGCTAACCAGGCTTGTTCCAAACAGAATGAATCCCAGGAGTTGAATGGAAGTTGCTCAGTTTATTAGAAGAACTCTGTTCTTTGCCACACTTGAACTTGGGAGGGGCCATCAGGTGTGGCCTGTGTCCCTACCAGGTGGACTCTGAGGCTCCCACCTGGGTACAGTAGCAACACAACATCCTAACCGATGGGTGCTTGATTTCCATTCACCGATATTCTGGTTAGAACTTTTCGGTCACTGTGTCTAGCCTCGTGACCATCACTAGCTCCTTGGGACAGCATAGAGACAGTGTTAGGAAAGTATGCCTCCAGCATCGTCCCAGGAACAATCCTTTGTGTTGTTTGTGGCAAGGAAGGAGACCATTACGCATCACCCCAGGAAGATTGAGGACCGGTTCCTTGGCTGTGTCCTAACAGTAATCGTTCAAACAAGGGTGGTGATGTTCCCTCCTGCACTGTTCCCCTGCTGCTGCTCTCTCTTCTCCTGACCCCTAAGAAGTGCATATCCCTGGCAGTCAGTGGCCTAGTCACTGATGATGAAAAAAATAAAATCAACAGAGAAGGGCATGTGTTGTTCAGCTTCTCAATGCAAAATCCCAAACCGACAACCCTGGGCTTTGCTTCGTAGTGTTGCTTGCATTCAGTCAAGGGGCTCGATGGCCCCACCTGGACGCCAGACGAAAAATGAACTTACTGGGAGTAGACCCCAGCACTGGGCAGATTGCCTGGCATTCCTTTGGGGAGGAGGATGGTCACCCACGGGACAGGCTGCTGGTCTCCCTTTCCCTATAACTTCCGGGAAGATCCACACCACGAGTGATGTGATGGAGACAAAAAACACGTGACTTGGAATGTGGAAGAGTGGAGGGGACCCTTAAAAATACCTGGGAATCACACTAAATTTCAATGTGGTAAGTATTTGACCATTATATTTTGGGCTAATATGGCCTGCCTGTTTCAAGGGCCTCTCAGCCACCATCTGCCAGAGGGCGGGTGGATGGCGTCGCTGAACCTGAGGTGCGAAGAGCTGGGGCAAAAGTCCCGCGGAGGCCACCTTGCTCTGCGCCCTGGACCTCGCGATCTTCTCCGGATCGGGCTTGTCCAAGCTCGGCTCCGATCGGTCCGGCTCGGCTCGCCTCGGCCTCGAACGGTCGGCCCAGAGCGGGTAGACGGCGCGCCGGAAGTGACGCTCAAAAGAGGGGTCCATGGCCCGCGTAGCCTCAGCTGCCGTCGCACACGCCCGTCGCCTCCGTGGTGAAGCCGTGTAGGAGCCATCTGGGTATAGGCCTGACTGTCGGGCGGAGCCCGCGGGTTGCGGCGCCGCTTCCGTGAAGAAGCAGTTCAACCTCATGAAGACGGTGGCTTATAGAGGGATGGCTAAGGCACGGAACATAGGCTAGCTGTCATTAGATGGAGGGAGGTAACAAAAGCTTCACAGTGGAGAAAAATCTGAGCAGAGACCTTTGTCTTCCGTCTTTAAACACTGCTTTCAATTATTGCTTGTATTGGTTAGGTCTCTTGGTTATAAAACCTAAAACTGCCCCAAGCGAAGATCGGAATTGTCTCGAGGTAATTACAAGAGTTCAAAAGTAGAGTGGCTGCAGATTTGGCTACATCCAGGGGTTTCAGTCTTTGAGCAGGTCGAGTCCACTGGAAGACTCCCCAGTCTTCCAAGCCCCAGAGGGAAAGAATACTCTTCTCCCGGTCACTGTGACCAGAGTCCCAGAATTGGCTCTGAATTATTCTGGGTCGCACACCTTTCCCCAGAAGTGGACTGGAGTCAGCGCCACTCAAGCCACAGTGGAGGAGTGCTAGTTCTTGAAGCTAAACCGGGGCACTGTCACCAGCAGGTGGCGACAATGGATGACGATAAGGCAAGCAAGAAAGATCATGATGTGCTTTTCGTAGTGCTGATAAAAAAGATAAGATACTGTTTCTTTTTTTGAGACGGAGGCTCGCTCTGTCACCCAGGCTGAGGTGCAGTGGCGCGATCTCGGCTCACTGCAGCCTCCGCCTCCCGGGTTCAAGCAGTTCTCCTGCCTCAGCCTCCTGAGTAACTGGGTCTACTGGCACACACCGCCACACCCAGCTAATTTCTGTATTTTTAGTAGAGACGAGGTTTCACCATGTTGGCCAGGATGGTCTTGATCTCCTGACCTCGTGATCTGCCCTCGACCTCCCAGAATGCTGAGATTACAGGCGTGAACCACTACGCCTGGCCTGAAAGATAAGTTACTATTTCTTAAAAACCCTTAGATACCGATAATTCAATGGACAAAGATGATATTTTGGGAAAAGTGGTAATCCAAGAGGAGAAAGGAATACACTGGGATGAGGAACTTAAAGGTACAAAGAAAAAGTGTCAAAAGGAAGGAATTTGAGGAACGTAACTAAGACAGCATAGTGCCTGGGCTGTGGTGGGGAGTGTGTCATGCGATATTGATTTCTTTAGTGATCAGAGTTTCCTCTGGAGGTCTGAATGCTTTTCCAAATAGTTGTTTTTAGAAAGCCAAGGTTACAAACCCAAATACCTAGAGGGCCAGGCCAGTAAAATCAGTGACTTGGGCCAGGGAAGGGTCTCACAGGACCTGGAAGACCAGGACCTACCAAAGGGGCTCTAAGCACACTGTGGTCCACCTTTGTAGTTTTCAAGAAGGGCCTGAAATCTGCATTAAACAACCACTCTTACACACATGAAACTAAACAAAATGCTTCTGTGGGTCACTAGTTGGCAACTGCTTGTCCGGAAGGACTCAGAATTTAACAGTTCCTGTTATTTTTCCCTGTACCTTACCCTGATATTACTCAGTTCTTTGCATTTGTTGAAGAGCAGCTCATCTTTCCCTTTACTGAAATTTTCCTTCCTTTTTTTTTTTTTTTTTTTTTTTTGAGAGACAGTCTTGCTCTGTCGCATATGCTGGAGGGCAGTGGTGCCATCTTGGCTCACTGCAACCTCTGCCTCTCAGGTCCAAGCGATCCTCATGCCTCAGCCTCCCAAGTAGCTGGCCCTACAGGCACCTGCCACCATGCCTGGCTAATTTTAATACTTTTAGTAGATGCAAGGTTTCACCATGTTGGCCTGGAACTCCTGTCCTCAAGTGATCTGCCCACCTCAGCCTCCCAAAGTGCTGGGATTACAGGCATGAGCCACCATGCCCAGTCCCTTTACTGAACTCTTAATTTAAAAGGTCTAATTGTAATACTTATCAACAATTTTATGGTAGTTTACAAAGTGCTGTGCTAAACATCCTGGCTTGCTTGTCACCTACTGACAATGATCATTTCTTTCTTATAAAGAAGGAAACGTGACTTTCCAAATTGCACAGCTACCGAGTGGCTGAGGCAAGACTTGAATCAGGGCTTCTAAATGGTGGATCTCATGTCATTTTGAGTACAGGAACTGGGCTGCCTCTTCACCAGGAAAGGATGAATGTTTATTAATGTTCTTTAAACATCTGTGTTTATGAAGCTGTAAGGCTAAGTGCTTTGCATACATTTATCTCATGCCTTTCTCACAACAAGCCTCAGACGTGATGTTATTTATTCCTGATTTAACGGTGAGGATGATGCCAGAGATTAAAGGAAATGGATTATTGAGCTAGTAAATGACAGCGCTGTGGACCCAAACCCAGGTTTCTGATTCTGAAACAGCTATAAATTCTCATTACAGAGATCTAATGACCTTCTCCAGGAGTGGAGGACTCACTACCTCACTGAAGTCTCACAGAGTCAAAAATGTGTCTCTACCTACTGATGCCAGAACAGTCCCCTGCTGCCACATGGAATGACTCATCTCTCTTCCTCAAGTCAGCCTTTCCTGTATTTCATGATCGCAAACCTTATCCTTATGTTGCCAGCAGTAACATTTTGTATCCTGCACCCACTCCACCATGTCCTTTTCCTCCCACTGATCTTCACTCTGCCTTCTCTAGGGGAACTCAACAGTATTTCTGAGAAGAGGTAGGTAATGTGTGCTTTGCTTCAGTCTGAGTGAATTCTATCCAACCTCTGTATAGAGCAGGGGTGGAAAGAAATCCTGTGTCATCGCAGCTTCTTTTCAATCTAAGCTTTCATGGCCTTATTAGGTAGTTTACAAGTTTTTGTCACACAACAGGATGTTTTGCCCATATCATTCTATTTCCCTTTCTCCAGTGTTGGAGATGCCATAAGAATTAATGAAGTACAAACCCATTTTAAAATACCGTACTCCTAGCTGGGCGAGGTGGCTTACTCCTAATCCTAGCCCTTTGGGAGGCCAAGGTGAGTGGATCACTTGAGGTTAGGAGTTCGAGACCAGCCTGGCCAACATGGTGAAACTCCATCTCTATTAAAAACACAAAACTGAGCCGTGTGTGGCAGCAGGCACCTCCCAGCTCCTCTGGAGGCTGAAGTGGAAGAATGACTTGAACCCAGGAGGCAGAGGATGTGGTGGGCCGAGTTCTCACCACTGGACTCCAGCCTAGGTGACAGAGCAAGACTCTGTCTCAAAAAAACAAAAAAAAATCCTACTCCTATTTTCTTGGTGTGTATGTATGTCCTTAAAGTTAAATAGTAAAAGAGCAATAGACTCACAGTCCCTCATCTGGAAGTTTTGGGGCAGGGTAAGTTTCAGAATTCAGACTGTTTCAGATTTTCCTAAAAGTAATAATGTACATATGTTGTGGTTATATACTACTTACTGTGAGCTCTGGGACAACACGAGATAATCAAACCTATTATTGTTACTATAGCAAAATGTAGGAATATTTTCTCTTTTTTTTTCATTTATTAGATTCCCAAACTAAAATGTAGGAGTATTTTCACACTTTGTGGATGCATAAAGATTATACATAGCTACATGTCAACTCAGGTCAACTTTTGTTGCCACATAAGTTACAAAAAAAATACTATTTGTTTTTTTTTAGAGCTTTTTGGATTTCAAAATGGTGGATAGGAACTGTGGACCTGTCTTACTAAAGTACTTATTGAGAGTCTGAAATTTTTTAACTGTAATATTTTCCGCCAGATGTGGTGGCTCACGCCTGTAATCCAAGCACTTTGGAGGCCAAGGTGGGCAGATCACCTGAGGTCGGGAGTTCAAGACCAGCCTGACCAACATGGTGAAACCCCGTCTTAATTTAAAAAAAAAAAAATTTCTGTATTCCAAAAGGTTAGAAACCACAGTTACAGTGCATAAGCAGGGTTCACTAGCTCAAGTGCAAGGGCCAGTAAAATAAGTGAAGTGGGAGGGGTTGCAGGAAAGGAGGGCATGGGGGGACTGCAGTGAACTGGTGAGTACATGCTCATTCAGAGGGCAGAGCTGCTCTTCCGTTCTAGCTGCTTGTTGCCATGGTAAATGTGGGTGTAGTGTAGCTGCATCTTCCATTTTTAATGATACTCCAGAATGCTGATTTCTGTGTGACGTTCCTTGGTATTTAAATATTGGCAACCAAAAAAAAACCCCCATTGTATTAGCCAAATAAAATATACCTGCAGGTTTTATCTGGCTATGGGCTGCTGGCTTTACTTCTGGTTTGGAGATTAATACTGCTGGTATGAAAAGTTGTCAGTGGCCGGGCGCAGTGGCTCAAGCCTGTAATCCCAGCACTTTGGGAGGCCGAGGCGGGTGGATCACGAGGTCAAGAGATCGAGACCATCCCGGTCAACATAGTGAAACCCCGTCTCTACTAAAAATACAAAAAATTAGCTGGGCATGGTGGCACGTGCCTGTAATCCCAGCTACTCAGGAGGCTGAGGCAGGAGAATTGCCTGAACCCAGGAGGCGGAGGTTGCGGTGAGCCGAGATCGCGCCATTGCACTCCAGCCTGGGTAACAAGAGCGAAACTCCGTCTCAAAAAAAGAAAAGAAAAGAAAAGTTGTCAGTGTTGTTGGTAATGAATTAATTCTTGAGATGTGGCTGGGTACATATGTTTTATACTTATTCGTTATACCTCATATATATGCTGTATGGTTTTTGTGTGTAAAAGATTTCATGACAAAAACAAAACCTAGACCACTTGATAGACACTTTCTTTTGGACCTACCTTCTTTCCGGCCAGTGGGAAATACCCTTCTTCATCAACAAATTTGAAACTTTAAATTGTTTTTATCTTGGAAAAGGGAATGAAAGCCCCACTATAAAAATAGGAGCTGTCATTAAAAGTAGTTTAGTGACCAGGTGCTGTGGCTGATACCTATAATCCTACCACTTTGGGAAGGCCAAGATGGGAGGATCGCTTGAGGCCGGGAGTTTGAGACTAGCCTGATCAATGAGTGACACCTCCCCCTCTTTCCCTCTCTCTCTCTCTCTCCATATGTATATATTTTATATATCTTTATGTATATATACACACATACATATATACACACAGACACACACACACAAAAGTAGGAGTTTAAACACACATACACACAGACACACACACACACACACACACACACACACACACACACAGACATATTAAAAGTAGGAGTTTAAAAGATTAGATTGTAATGTTATTACCTTTCCAGGGCCATAGTGACCTGAAGTAACTTTGGGTATTCATCCTTATGTTGAGACAGGGAGATGTCCTTGGTCTCCTCTCTCTTCTCATCTTTTCCCTGGGTGATCTCAGCTCCATAACTGTCACCTTGTGGTTGATGAGTCTGTTTTATGCCTCCAGTGCTGGCATCTCTTCATCCCTAGAGTGATGCTGTCATCTCCATCTTGAATGTCTCAGCTGACATGGCCCGCTAAACTTAAACTCATAGGTGGGACAATCGCTTGAACCCAGGAGACTGAGGCAGGTGATTCACTTGAGGCCAGGAGTTCAAGGCCAGCCTGGGCAACATGGTGAAACCTCATCTGTACTAAAAATACAAAAATTAGTCAGGCATAGTGGCATGTGCCTGTAAGTCCCAGCTACTTGGAAGGCTAAGACATGAGAATCACTTAAACCTGAGAGGCAGAGGTTTCAGTGAGCCAATCATGCCACTGCACTCCAGTTTGGGTGATAGAGAAAATCTGTCTCAAAAAAATGAGGAAAAAAAAAAAAGAACCTGTCAGATGTGGCTGAGGGGAGACCAGTCTGTAGGTCACTAGTAAATAGTAAGGATAAAAAGGCAAGACCTTGAATATCCTGTTAAAGGTGGACTCCAGGCAGTGGGAACTTAGTATAATTTTAAGCAGGGAAGGAAAATTACCAGATATTTATCCTAGGAAGTGGACCCTCACAGCAGCGTGGAGAACGTACCCAAGGGAGGCCAATGGTAGAAACAGCAAGATCAGCAGGGAGTCAGCTGTACCAGTTCGTACAGGGGACAGGAAGAAATGGACCACCGCCATGGGAACAGGAGAACAAAGGAGAGAATTAGAAAATATCTGTTGGTTCACTGGATATGCAGTGGGTGAGAGAGAGAGAGATCAATCATGCTTCTGAGGGCTCATCTTGAATACTAAGGATATAATGGAATATACTGAGTTTCTTTTCAGATATGTTGATTTTGAGAAGCCATGGCCAGACAGTTAGATAAACTAGTGTGGAACCAGGAGAAAGATGAGGTTAGACATAGACATTGAGAAGTCATTTGCATACTAGTGAAAGTTGAATTATAGGACTGGATAAGTTTGTCCTGAGACTGCAGGCAGAGTGAGATATCCTGTTAGCCAGGCACGGTGGCTCACACCTATAATCCCAGCACTTTGAGAGACTGAGACAGGTGGATCACAGATCAGAAGTTCAACATCAGCCTGGCCAACATGGGGAAACACCGTCTCTACTAAAAATACAAAAATTATCTGGGCGTGGTGGTACACGCCTATAATCCAGCTACTCGGGAGGCTGAGGCAGGAGAATTGCTTGAACCAGAACCTGGGAAGTGGAGGTTGCAGTGAGCTGAGATCGTGCCACTGCCCTCCAGCCTGGGCTACAGAGCAATACTTCGTCTTAAAAAAAAAAAGGAAAGAAAAAAAAAAAAGAGCTAAAATAAATAAATAAAGAGATCCCGTTAGCTGGTGATAGCATCCTGGAGAATATTCACATTTAAGAAGTGTCAGAACAGGAAGCCACAAAGGGACTGAGAAAGAAGGCTTTAACATTAGGAGTGGAATCTGGGAAGAGTGGTATTAAAAATGAAGATTGCAGAGAAAATGTCAAGAATGAAGATGTGGTGTTTCATGTTTATCAGACACTACAGAGAGGTTAAGTGAACCAAAAGTGTGCATTGGATTTAACAGTTAGAAAGTTGCTGGGACATGAGTGAGACAAGATTTTGTAGAGCTTTCAAAAACAAGCCAGTGAACAATGAGATGGTGATAGGAGTAATAAATTCTTTCAGAGGCTTGGCTGTGAAAGGTAGACAAGTAAGGTGGTTGGTTACTGGAGGAGCAGAAAGGAGGATATGACATGCCAGGAGAAATGGGCATACTCGTGTGCTCAGGCACAGAGACACATGAAGGACAAAGCAGAATGGGAGATCCACAGAATGAGTCTTTGAAGAAGGCTGAATGGATACTGTCCAGGTGATGTTAGCCTTCAACTGCAGAACCAGATCCCTTTTCCTCTGAAACAAGAAGGAAGGAGTAGAGATGAATGAAGAGAAGACGCTGGGATACAGGCAGGGGATTTGGGGTCTTGACTGCTTGTCTCTAATGTCTTCAAGTGGGTGGAAGGCATGCTCATGCCTGAGGAAATGATGAAGATTTGGAGGGGCCCTTAAGAAAATTGATCTCAAGGGAGTTGACCGTGGACATTTGATAGCATTTGGGGCACAACTGCTTAAACGCCGAAGAATAGGAGCTGTTGAAATGAATTGGAGGATATCTATAGGACAAACTTCTACTTTTAAAAGGAATAAAATGGAATCATTCACATTTTGAGAGATCTCCAAAGTCTAGTGATTTTTTTTTTTTTAGAAAACATATCAGAGAATAATATACTATCATTAATACAGATAGGCACGTATATTTAAAAGATCTGGAAAAAAACCACATTAATAAGAGAGTAGTTTTCTGGTTAATGGAAAGAAGTAGAATATAGCCAAAAATCAGAACTTTTACTTTTTTTTCTTTGTTTCTTGAGATTACTGTCACTATGTTCCCCAGGCTGGAGTGTGGTGTTATGATCATGACTCATGGCAACCCAGACCTCCCAGGCTCATTTGACCCTCCCACCTCAGCCTACTGAGTAGCTGGGACTGCAGGTGCCCACTAGCACACCCTGCTAATTTTCCTATTTTTTTTTTAGAGATGAGATTTTGCCGTGTTGCGCAGGCTGGTCCCGAAATCCTGAGCTCAAGCTATCCACGCTCCTCAGCCTGCCAAACTGCTGGAATTATAGGTGTGAGTCACTGCATGCTAAATTTTAAATGATTTAATTTTTATACAACTTACACTTTTCTACTATTCATCTTTTTTCTTATATACTGAGTGTACACTCATTTATTTTATAATATTTGATCCTTAACACACATATTTTAATTACCCAAGGCATACATAAATGCCTGCTCCTTATAAAAAACTGAAAGCCTTACATAACAACTTCAACTATCCCTGAAGCACAACCTCAGCCTGGCCAGCACCCAGCCTCACAAGAAGCAACCATAGTGTGAACTTGTGTGAATACCTTTACAGGCCTTTCAGAGAGACTCTTATTTTTTTTCTTTTTTTTTTGAGGTGGAATCTCGCTCTGTCACTCAGGCTGGATTGCAGTGGCGCTATCTTGGCTCACTGCAACCTCCATCTCCACCTCCCAGATTCAAGCAGTTCTTCTGCCTTGGCCTCCCAAGTAGCTGGGATTACAGGCACATGCCACCACACCCGACTAATTTTTGTATTTTTAGTCGAGACGGGGTTTCGCCGTGTTAGCCAGGCTGATCTCAAACTCCTGACCTCAGGTGATCCACCCGCCTCAGTCTCCCAAAGTGCTGAGATTATATGTGTGAACTACTGTGCCCGGCCAGTCCCTCAGAGACTCTTAAAAATTTTTCTTCCAATAGTTTTATTAAATTTAAAGAAAGTAAAACTGAAAATGAAATGACTCTTTCCAAAAGGTCATTAGTGATAAAGTAGATACACATTGTGGCTTCATCTTTAGTAGTCTCTGAGGATCATCCATTGCCTTCACAGCCTTTCAGCCCAGCCGCTGCACTCTGGCCAGGTGACGTCAGCGGAGGTGCAGATGCGGGCAAAGCCTCTGCAGCAGCATTTGACAGACGATGCCCCCACCCACCAGGTCCAAGTCCAGCCAGGCTCCTAAGAGACACAGCAGAGGAGCAGGGACTGGCATCTGCCCCTCTGGGTATGGATGCTGGGGTGTTTCCTAAACTTGGTTGTATATTTTTTGCTAGTTTGATCTGTCCTGGAGAATTATGAGGAGCAAGCCTTGTTGGAGGAGTAGATAAAAGAGATTCTGTTTGAAGAAATTTAACAAAAAGTTCTGAAAAAGAACCGTTAAGAGTTCTTTTAAATAAAGAGAAGATCAGTTTTTTTTTAAAAAAAAACCTGAATCAGGTTGCTGATTCAGGCCCAGTGGTGTTCTGGGGATACTTCTGGATCCTTGTCCAAGGCACCCAGTCATCCACCTGGTAACAGTGCCACGCTCTTCCTGACACCACTGCTCTATTTTCTCCCTTGTGACACCCAGGATGCTTCCCATGGCTTGTAGCACTACATGTTCTGCGTGTTTTGGTGTTTGAAGATATCTAATGAAGAGGTTTCTCATGAGGAGTTTGTCCACTTTTCCTTCTGTGCTGCTGGCTAAATCCATGCATTTCTTTTGGAAATAATCCAGCCTTTCCTGTAGGATCACGTTTTGTTTTTCAAGTTCTTTGATTTTTTCCTGATACTCTATTTCCTTTTCCCTGGATGTTTCAGCAATTTTTTCGTTGTCCTGTTTTAGTTTCTCCATATCCGTTTCTAAAACTGATACTCTCTTCTTGAGATTTCTCACTGTCTGCCTCAGAAGTTCATTTTTATTCATTTTTCTCGTGAGATTTTCTCTCAACGAATGTATTAGACTGTTTTTGGCTCTGATGAAAAGATTTTTTCCCCTAAGTAACCTGTCTAAGACATTTTGTTTCTCCTTCAGCTGCTGAATTTCTGAATGCATTTGTTCATGTTCTTTTCTTTCTCGTTCTGAGGCGGCAGCAGTGGAATCAGACAGTCTCTGATTCTCTTCTTGGAGGGATCTAATGGTTGCATCTTTCTCCTGCAGCACTTTTCTCAGCTTCTCGATCTCTTGCTGGAGCAATTTAGAAGACTCAGTCGATAGAACAGACTCACTTGCGTGGAGAGATTCTGCAGAGCGTGAAGAAACTCTCAGCAGCTGGGGTAAAATATCCAGCTGTGGAAAGAGACTCTCCTTGCCACTGCAGAGCTGTGCGACGCTGCGCTGCGTGTGTGCTACCTCCTGCCCCAGGTTTTTGAGTTGAGTTTTACACCCTTCATAATTTTGCGTCAGGTCTCTACAGTTCATCTGACACTGAGAGTCGTCATCATTGCCAATTAAAAGTTTTGCCTGAAGTTGAGGAAGTTCTTCCTGGGGTTGGGCTATGCCCTGCTGCATATTTTGCACTGTGGTCACCAGCTGCTCTTTCCTCGCTTCCACTTTCTTAACGGGCTGTTTTAAGATATCGGATTCTTGTGGAAGCTCCTCATACTGAGAGACAGCAATACTTTCAAGGTCATAACTGGTGCTGGATGTTTGCAGAATGGTCACTAAAGGCTGACATTTCTGACCTAATGCATCTCTTTCTATATGTTTTTCTTGATTGAGATATGTTGACTTCAGAAGATTGT